AAATGTTGAGCTATTTCCCTGAAAAAACAATAGGGTGGAAAAAGACATTAATATGAGAAGGTTGGAAGGAAAGAACATGCCTACATTGAGTTATTTCCCCGAAAGAACAATAGGAAAGGGGGGGGGGGAAGAATTAAAAAGAGCTCAAGGAATTAATGTGACATGAGAAGAGGAAAGTCAGACTTCTGTTGTCGTTGTGTGCCTGGAGTTGGTAGAAGATTCCAGTGCTTAATCTCCTGTTTACCTGATCCCCAGTCGTGCCTACCACACCTATGACAATTAACGTGTCAAGGATATCATCCTTCCCTGGAGGCTTTGAAAATCAATTGTGCCTTTTTAGAGCATGTGTCACCTCTGTGCAGCTTCCAGCTGATGACATTATTATGACTGTTGTCAAATTTTCTGTTGATATTGGGAGGAGACCTCAAGGAAGCATATTAGTCAAAAGCTGTCTTTCCAGACGGGTGGAGGAGCTGAGCTGGGGTCTGGATGGCTTTGGACTAGCACACTTGGGCTAACACAACTCCAGTGTCAGCGTAGATACTCAAGCAATACTCTGTGCAGTACTCTGGAGAGAAGGAGAAGTGAGGGTGCACCTGGCCGCCCTCCAGCAGCTAGTCAAGCTGGAACTCAGGAGCCCTTCAGGATTTCCTTGAGTAGTTTCTAGTCTTACCTGTTACTTCTCAGGGAACACAGAGCTCCAGCCACATTCCAGAGAGCCCAGGGTCACCCACTTTAAACACCTTGCAGGGTGGAGACTGAAAAAGACGGGATAAATAAAGTATACTGCATTGAAACAGATGAGAGAGAGAACTGTTTTAAAAGGTATATATGATTAGGTATTATTGTCATGACAGGAGTCCAGAACGAAGGCTGCATAGTGGAGTGGACGTGGGGGGAAGGGTTGTATAACAATGAAAGAATTTTTATTTTACTCTTCAAAGAGAAGAATGAACTGGAGGGGAGGGATGGGCATTAAGAAAAGTGCAACAAGGAATGAGTGGAAATCCAAAACCTCTGTAAATTTTCATTAAAATTAATAATAATAATAACCAAAACAAGCAAACAAACCAAAAAAGCCTTGTGATGTTTTATGAGATTGACTATTTCTGCCCACCTGTTCAAACCAACCTAAGGCTTGCAAAATGTTTCTGTACGGTCCACCCCAAGCTTGTATGTTGGGAAATGGTTAGGGTAGCTCTTCAGGAGAAGACTGAGCCTCAAGGAGGGAGGAGAAGACCCACCGTTTTGTGTCTGGGTGCACGTCTCTAACCCTAAAGCAGTGTGTCATCTGCAGAATGCAGATTGCTGATGAGTCTTCCGCCAATCCTGATGCACATTTTTCTCCATATATTTCAGCTTTTCAAGTTATTTACATAGCATTCAAATGGAAAAGGTTTGGAGAAAGGAATCAACCCTGATGCACACCTTTCATGATTTTAAATCAAACAGTGTTCTCTCTTTCTTTTCAGAAAAGCAGTCTATATGCCACTTTCTCATGCACAGAACTTAACTTTCTGGGATTCCCATCCTTCTCAATGTTACTCATAATATGTTTTGATTGACACAATCAAATGCCTTTGCATAGTCAATAAGATATGAATAAATCATTTTTTGGAATTCACTGCTTTCAACCAAGATCCATCTGATATCAGCAGTGGTGTCCCTTGTGCCATGACCTTTTCTGAATCCACCTTGAATTTTCAGCATTTCCCTTTGGTGAACTGATATTGATACTTTATTGTACCAGGAAGTGTTTCCTTCTGTTATCATTAGTGATACTTGTATCAGGCAGCATTTGGTTCTCTCGTGCGTAGGGTCACTGCGAGTTGATGCCCACTTGATGGCAACTAACAGTAACATCATAGTTTACATTAGAGTTCACTGTTTTACTGTTTCATGAAATTTGGTAAGTGCATAATGTGAGATGTCTATCATACTAAGTGGTGTAAGTGGTTTATTGTTCAACATTACTTTCCTAGCCATGATTTTGATTTTGCCATGAGGATAGGAAATACGTGAATAGGGTTTGTCAACCTGTCTGCAAGGTGATTGGTTAGTCTCACCACTACATGGAGCAGATGCAGTGGCAGATTTTGAGAATCTCACCACCAGCAAAGATGCAGCAAGAGAATGCAGTGCACCCTTTAGGGCCAGAGTTTCTTACACCAGCCAGACCTCCAGGAGAGACACAGAGAACCAGAGACCTGGCATAAGACAGACCTGAGCTGAGGACTGCTGTGCCACAGAGCCAAGTTAAGAGGCTTTTGCCCGTGTTTGGGAGGACTTGGGAGGGGGGAAGGGAGAGCCATTGTTGGCAGGACTAGAAACATTCTAATACTTGCTTAAAGTTGGGAGGCTGCAGGCTGGGGTGTCTGTGAAGCCATTGTGACTGAGTGATTGTACCTTTGTATGCCAACTTTGGATCTCTGTGTCTCATTTAGATCATTCTCACAGTATTTTTTTTAATTCATTTTAATGACCTTTACAGAGATTTTGGATTTCCATTAATTTTTGCATTTTTCTCCTTGCCCACCCCTACCCGTAGTTCACTCTTTTCTTTGAAAAGTAAAAGAAACATTCTTTCATTGCTATACAATCCCCCGCCACCACTCCAAATACACTCCACTATGCAACCTTCATTCTGGACTCTTGTTATAGCCATAATAATCAATCATACATTGCTTTTAAACAGTTCACTCTCTTATCTGTTTCAATGCAGTATACATAATTTATCCAATCTTTCTCAGTCTCACCCCAACCTTGATGTCAGTCCCGTTCTACAACAGTGGCACCATGCAATATTTGTCCTTTTGTAACTGAGATACTTCACTCAGCATAATGTCCTCCAGGTCACCCATTTTGAATAATATTGCATGATTTCCTTGTTTTTAAATGCAGCATAGCATTCCATTGTGTGAATATACCACAGCTTCTCTATCCATTCATTTGTTCATGGGCGCTTAGGTTATTTCCAACTCTTTGCTATTGTGAACAAAGCTGCAATAAACATAGGTGTGCATATATCTGCCTGGGTGGCAGTTATGGTTTCTTTAGGATATATTTCCAGCAGTGGAATTGCTGGGTCAAATGGTATCTCTATTTGCAACTTTTTGAGAGAGCGCCATACTGCCTTCCACAGTGGTTGCACCATTTTGCACTCCCACCAACAGTGAATAAGGGTTCGAGTTTTTTCTCCGCAACCTCACCTTCTCAAAGTATTTTAAACTTATTTTATAATCTCACTTTTTTGGAAAGTGTTTTTGAAACATGATGCTTGGAAAGCTGAGCTTAAGAGAGGAAGCCCCTTGACAAGATCAGGTGACACAGTGACTACGTCATGGTGAATACGTATCAAGAGACGGTGAGGATGGCCCAGGGTGGGACAGGGTTCAGATCCACTGTTCATAGGGGTTAAAGTCGATGGCATGTAACAACACCACCACTTGCTTACTTGATAGACTGTGTAGTGTGAACATAATTCTCACATGCACTGGGGTGGGGAATGTGTATGTGACTGGATTTATTGAGACACTCGCTTTGTTACAGTGGTCTGGAATTGGACCCAGGATTCCTTAAGAGGGTGTACCTGGAGCCCTGCCTTTTCCAGAAGAAAAAGAACAGCTTCACTAAGAGGGCCTTCTGGAAGCGGCTTGTTGTGCTTAATTAAGTTTCTTCTTCCTCCTGATTCATGCCTGCTCTTTGCCTGGGTCCGCCCCGTGCCCTGGTGTCTGACTGGATAACAGGACAATTCCTACCTTCCATCTCCTTCCATTCCGATTCATGTATATTGTTGCGGCTTCAGCTGCCATGAAGCTCACCCCTGACACATGGCAAACCTGCATATTGTCACAGCAGCACACAGTCCTCTTCTGACTGACAGGTGATGGTCACACCTGAAATGCATCGACTGGGAATAGAACTCAGGTCTCATGCACGGCGAGCAAGAATCTTGCCACTGAACCGCCAGGTTCCTCCTTCTTCCTGACAGTTTCTTGATTTCAGCTCAGCAAGAGGTCAGGATCTACTATGTACACATCCCTTTGAATGATGATGTTGGCAAAGAGTATTGAGTACACAGCAGACTGCCAGAAGAACAGACACATCCGTCCTCAGAAAACGTGCAGCCAGGATCCTCTCTAGAAGCAAGCATGGCGAGGATTTCTCTCACAGCCTTTGGACGTGTTATCCTTGCAGGACATCAAGCCAAGGAAGGAAAGGCTTGGTGACCACACTGGCTAGAATACAGCGATGGCTGTGAGTGTGGTGATGGCCAGGCAGGGTCTATGCAGGGCTGTGTTGGGTTGGAATTGACTCAACAGCTCATCACAACCGAACCACTCCTCAGCCTGTAGTCAGAGTTCTGTGTCACCTAGTGCAGCTCTGAGTTGGTCATGTTTGAGTCAGGTATTTACTACAAACCTTTCCATGTGGCTAGGAAGAAAGTCAGGTGACAGACAACGTGGCTCTTCCTCCTGCAGATGGACCGAAGGTGGGGTTTGAGCAGGCTGGGACACAGCCACCTACCTGTAAGCACACCCTGTCCTGACAGTCACAGCTGGAAAGCCCAATAAAAGATGTCCTTTGAAGGCAGAGGGACCTTGCGCACTAGTTTCCAAAAGCTGCTGTTTGTACAGGTTCCAGGGAAAGTACTTGATGTAGGGGGCTGTTATTTGCTCTGGTTTGGGCCTCAGCTGTTTTCAAATCATGATAAGCAGTGTTTTTGACTCTTTCCACATTACAAAAGCAGCTGGCTTAAAGAGACGCTGGGCTGCATGATGGCATTTTTGTTTGGGATTCTCAAAAGATCGATTATGATAAAACACATCATGCTCTCAACACAGGTGTTTGCAGGAGGAGGCCCCATGTGTCTACTGATGGCTCCGGCTTCTGTGCAGGGTTTACAAACTCTGCAGGGCCGTGCATTCTGCTCTTCACGGCATCTGCATAAATAGGTTCGGGGCTCAACAGACGTAACTTCACCACCACTCCTTCTGAGCATGGGGTGAGCACGTGATTGTCCAAGACCTACTGCATGTAGAACACGGAAGAATGCCATATTCGTCTCTCATGGCTCCTCCAGGCAGAGATCTGCTAACTGAGGTTTGTGTCCTCCTGGGAAACAAACAAACAAAAATTCCCAGAGATTATGCAAGGAGTTTGCATAACCTATTAAAGGAATCGCTTTCCAGATCCTCCGCTCCCATGTGAATTCTTTCTTAGAAATGACCTAAGAGTGGCTGGCGAGGTTGTGGAGAAACTGGAACCCTTATTCACTGTTGGTGGGAGTGTAAAATGGTGCAGCCACTGTGGAAGGCTGTATGGCGCTTTCTTAAAAAGTTGAAAATAGAGATACCATTTGACCCAGCAATTCCAATACTGGGAATATACCCCAAAGAGACCATAACTGCCACCCAACCAGATATATG